CTGTTTCCTGTTTTTAAACACATCTCAATGGAGCATATATAACGTTTAAATAAAATGTTACAATAAAAATCTAGTAATACACACTTAGAGCAATTAAAACATTTAATCACTAACAAAAACCTACTACCCACCAACAATGCTCGCTCGGGGAAATTCTCAGTCAATCGTATGATGGATTAAGTGACGGGATGTAGTCCTCCAACACTTCGCCATGAACAGAGCCTTTTTTGCAAAGCCCCTTAACTATAAGAGCTGTCCTAAGATATGACGTTACAGATGACATCTCAACAGAGGAACACATGCTTGGGCCAGAGAAGACCCCAGAAGTCCCAGATTCAATCACTGGTGTTCCCCGTGAAAAGACAGACACAGGATCCTGGAATGGTGCTAGCCATCAATCAACTATGTTCAGTTAAACAAGACGCTATCATGGAATTTTGTACCATGCAGACCAGAAATACATTTGTCATGAGTAAAATTGCGGTTAATTTTTCTGCAGTGGCTCCTATGCCATTTTGAGGATCAAATCCTTCTGGGGGCAGAGGCACAGATGCACCATGAACTACGTGGATGCAGATTTTAAACATTACCCCCAAAGCATAGGAACGCTCTGCGAAGGGCCTGCAACCCAGTGATTCAGGTAGCATTAAAGTAAGCTTGGATGAGTTGATGGAACACCGTGATAAAGATCTAATCCGCCCATTCTGTAATATTTCATTCACCCCGCGGAGTCTCGTGTTTTATTATACTCATTACCCCTTGTAGTATTTTGTATTCTGCAGGAAGATGTCTTTGCTGGGGATGTATTGTTTGTTGCAAATTCTTTCCCCATAGAATGGTGCTGTTTTGAATGCTGCATGTTCCTATTCAATCCTGCCTTCCAGAAGACATATTTAGGAATTACCTTTGCTCGGCAAAGAGCTGTTTCTGCTATGACAGCAGGTGGTAGTTTAGTGGCAATTTTAGAATCAAACATTGCTGTAAATTATGTACAGCACAATGGAATTTTACAAAGCCGTTTCTCTCTCTCTCTCTCTCTCTCTCTCTCTCTCTCTCTC